CCCCAAAACCCCAAAACCCCAAAACCCCTATTTTTACTAATTCAATTGAATTTTTAATAACTTCTTTAAAATTCTTGATGAACTATTTGCTATAGATATTTTCCTATCTTGGCTTGCACTGATGGTGAGAAGTCAGGACCTACGGGTTAGAATAAGCAGCTTACATCCATTACACCTTCTAGTACCTTTATTACTAAATGAGCTCCATACATCAACAAGGTCCTCGTTAGGCAAAGCTGCATTCCGACCTAACTTATTGCCTTTACCTCTACCGTGCTTTGCACTACTTGTATTCTTAAGACTTTTATTGCCTTTGATTTTTCCTCTTCCTTTCTTCTTGGAGTGACCCTTCTTCTTAGAGAATAACTTTGTGGATGTCGCTATGGTTGACTGAAGAGATATACCTGATGTAGAAGGCTTTCTAATTTTTCCTTCCTTAGTCATAATTTTATCCTTCTTGAGCATATTCGATAGCATTTTGATTTCTAAAATTTTGTTGCAATTTTACCCATCTCTAGCACTCTCGGGTCTATCACAGGCTGAATGACTGGTTGCCTTCTGACGGCACTGAATAAGGTTAATAACATTCAAGGATCTTACCTTTTGGATCCTACAATATAAACAGATTAACCTACTTTGGGCAAACTTAATCGGTACTTTCTTCTGCTTGTTGAAATTGGTAGCTGCCAGTTTATTTTGAAAACTTCCTAATAAATAAAATTTACCATTTACATGACACTTGGTGGAGCTACTATGTAGTTAGAGAAACCTTACTCTTGTCTAAGGGAAGAACTAGCTGAGGGGGATACTCCTGGTAAGGAAAGTTATCCAATGTCGCCATCTTGTTTTCTCTAGTGGTAGATTGAGATTTTCTGTTCTTTTTATACCCATTCATAAAGTTTTTATACCCCTTCTTTTGATTCTCTTCATAAGGATGATATCTGTGCTTTATAGTCATCTTAGTGTCGCTATTGCCCAGACTCTTTGCACTTTTATTAACCTAAATGTTTGAGAAAGCTTTATACCCTCTGCCTGTATATTTTCTGGTAGTTCAAATCAACAGACTCGAAATGAGTTTCATCAGATTCTGTATTTTGATTGTCCTTAGAGCCCCATCTTAAAGGTCTGGGGACTCTAAAGTATTGAGATTCGAACAGAAATCTCCGAATGAGGAAGTCTACTTCGTTCCAGCTGGCTTGAACACCAATGCTTTTTAAATACTTGAGCACATCTCTTGCCTCGATCTTGTGCATAGCATTATACGTAGTTGGAAGAGATTTCTGACTACCAATGTTTAATATAGAAGTTGTCACGACAATCTGGTATTTTTCCATATGAAACAGATGAATGATCTTCAGCTCCTGTATGAACATATTAGTCAGTAAAAGATGAATCTTCTTTTGTTGATGAATCAGCTTGTCAGTAAACAACTCAACATATTGTTTGATCCTGCCTTCATCCATTCTTTCAGCTTTAGGAACATCTACAAACCTCTGTTCTCTAGAAAGGGCATCCATTCTTAGTTTATTTATTCGCATTCGGCATCACATAATTGTAAAATTCTTTGAAGGTTAAGGTCTAAAGGTCAGAGAAGACATTACGCTTGGATCCCTTGGTTTAGAGATCGACTCAATAATCTCCTTGCATTCTTCAACAGTCACCTCCCTAAGGAGGTATTTCTGGAGCATTTTGGGCTTTATGTATCCAATTTTATGGATATCGACTCACCTATAGACGGAAAAAGGCTCGAAATTTTCAAATTCTGCTAGCTGCTCCCTCATTCTTTCAGTCTATATCTTTCACATTGGAATTTGGACTTAAAATATACAGTTTAAGTGGAAATGAAGTATGAATTAGCTCAGAGCAGGAAATCTTCAGTCCCTAAGGAGAGTAATACTAATGATCATAAGCCCAATGGAGCCCTAGGATAAGTTTATTGGGACTGTATGGTTTCATTACCTCTCTTTCGATCTTGAACAGCGCTATAAGTTTGAAATTAGGCTTAATAAGTGTGGTTTGGAACCTGAAATGTCCAAGAATATTACTGGTTTTATTTTAGTATTAGAACATGTCATGATTAAGAGCATACCTTCAAAAAATTGTTTTGATAATGAAACAAATTTTTTGACATCCATTTTATAACGTTTTATTTCAGCTAAAAATTAAAAATATGGGGTTTTGGGGTTTTGGGGTTTTGGGGTTTTGGGG